AATGAATTATACCTAACACATTTAACGTTTGTAAATATTTCTGGAACTAGATTACAGCCGTGTGGGCGAGGCAGTTTGCTTATACTGTAGACTATCCCAGGAAAAAAGTATAGTTATCTAATTCCTATATAAACTTCTCGCAAAAGCAACTAAATCTTTCACTAGAAACCTACATCTAACTCAACCAAACCAACCATACCCCCGGCCGGGATTGAACCCGCGGTCATAGAGTCTCAAAACTCCAGCCCGTCGCGTTAGTCACTAGACCAGCTGGCTAGCTGGTCTAGTGGCTAACGCGACGGGCTGGAGTTTTGAGACTCTATGACCGCGGGTTCAATCCCGGCCGGGGGTATGGTTTATTTGCAATCGTGTCATTACGATTTCTTAAGTCATGCTACATCTAACTCCTCTATCAGTCGTGTCACTCACGTGCCAGTGATCTTTCTGAATGTCTGATTTCATTATAATGTAGGCAGTATAAGGCCTATTCCACTCTTATATAGGAATTTCTGTGCTTGAAGTCGATTTTAACTAGCATTCAGAGGGAATATTTCTGTCAATCAATCCTAGTGGTTTCACCCACACTCTATGAGACAGGAATAGTTCATTGTTCACTCAGGCAGCTGCTGGGTTGGTCAGTGAGTATTGAGACCGTGTGTGATGAGTGATGGTATTGCTTGTTGTTTAATCCACGCAGCATCACCTAACATATATTCCTCTCTCAGTTTGATCCTAAATTCTTGTTCTCTCTCTCCCTCATGCCGTTTACTGTGTTATCCCACTCACACCTTACCTACCTGTTCCCTTATTTTTTTTTCACTCCCTTCCTTCGTATTGGCCCCTTCTTTTCTTTTAAACCCTACCGTCCTGTTACTCCCTCCTCCCTCACAACATGCCTTCCTGTTTCCCCCTTTCTTGCCGTTTCCCCCTCCCTCACATCCTTCCTCCCCCCTCCTTTCTTCAACTCTCCATTACCCAAACTGGGAAACACAAATAGAAGCTCTTTGTTGATTAACGATTTTTGATGTCAAGAAAACCATTAGAATGAGAGTTAAAATGCTTGGTTCATGATTACACTGTGTTGGTGCAGTGTGAAGAGTGGTTCATGGAGCGGCAAGACGGTGCGAGAGAGAGAGAGAGAGAGAGAGAGAGAGAGAGAGAAAGAGAGACTCATGCACATTCACAAACCCTACAGTGATCAAAGGAAACCAAGAGAAAGAGAGAGGGAGTGAAGTCAGAAAAATGTTTTATCGAGACCATTTGTTGCCGTGCGCAGTAGCCTTGAAAGGTAAGTTCACTGGTGATGACCAGTACAGTGGACATCACCAGTGAACCTCCTAGCAGTCTCTGTACCTAGCAGTCCCTGTGCCTAGCAGTCTCTGTACCTAGCAGTCTCTGTGCCTAGCAGTCTCTGTGCCTAGCAGTCTCTGTACCTAGCAGTCTCTGTACCTAGCAGTCTCTGTACTTAGCAGTCTCTGTACTTAGCAGTCTCTGTACCTAGCAGTCTCTGTACTTAGCAGTCTCTGTACCTAGCAGTCTCTGTACCTAGCAGTCTCTGTGCCTAGCAGGTTCACTAGGTTTTAGTGAATAACCACTCAATAATGTACCAGATATGTGTGTGTGTGTGTGTGTGTGTGTGTGTGTGTGTGTGTGTGTGTGTGTGTGTGTGTGTGTGTGTGTGTGTCTGTCTGTGTGAGTATGAGAGAGAGAGAGAGATGTTGATAATGCAATAAAGAGAGATTAAGTGATAGATTAAGAGAGAGAGAGAGAGAGAGAGAGAGAGAGAGAGAGAGAGAGAGAGAGAGAGAGAGAGAGAGAGAGAGAGAGAGAGAGAGAGAGAAAGAGAGAGGGAGAGGCGGCAGGTTCCAGATATATATTCACCATGTTCTGTGTTTCTGACGGTTCCATTCCCTTCATCACTCATTATCTTCTCTTGTCTGCCTCCTCTCCTTCCCCACACTCGCTCTCTCTCATTTCGTTTCCCTTTTGACCACTCCTTCGTATCTCCGTGCAGGGTCTGTGTGTGTGTATCTCGTGTGTTCCGCCGCTTGTGTGCGTTTTAGTGCTGGCAAAGTTGGGATGCTTAATGTGCACACACGTGTGTACCTCCATGTTACGTACATGGTGTGCTCTCCTCATGCGTACACCACGACCATCGCCTCCACCTCTATCACCCCTTTACCTCCATCACACCTCCACCACCACCATCATAACCACCACGACCGCCACCACCATAACTACCACAACCACCACCATAACTACCATATCCACCATAACAACCACTACCTAAACTAGCACCACCACCATAACTACCACAACCACCATAACAACCACTACCACCACCATAAATACCACAACCACCACTATAACCACAATAACCACAACCACCACCATAACTACCAAAACCACTATAACAACCACTACCATCTTAACTACCACCACCACCATAACTACCACAACCACCACAATAACCACAACTACCACCATAACTACCTCAACCACCACTGTAACCACAATAACCACAACTACCACCATAACTGCCACAAGCACCAATCCTAAAACCACTAATCATCACTATTACTTCCCAACAAAGCTACGTCTCCCCCCCCCAAACACCACAACCACCACATGTCAACAGATCGATATGTCACTATCACCACATCAACACCAGACATTACCACTCCATCAACAGGTCACCACGACTTCTCAGTAACTATCACCACCTCAGTAACTATCAGCGACCACCACCAACACCCCCCCCACTAACAACATCAACAATACCAACACCAACATAAGTCTGACTACACGACATCACAAGCATCAACCAACACATTACCACAACAACCATCACAACCACCAAGCAGCTATCACAACCACAATACCCACATCCACCCCAACAACAATCAGCACATAATATGCCCACCACCACCACCACCACCATCGTCACAATCACCACCACCACTATCACCACCACCACAATCACCACCACCACCACCACAATCACCACCACCACTATCACCACCACCACAATCACAACCACCATCACAATCGCCATCACCACCACCACAATCACCACCACAATCACCACCACCACCACCACTATCACCACCACCACAATCACCACCACCACCACTATCACCACCGCCACTATCACCACCACCACAATCACCACCACCACCACTATCACCACCACCACTATCACCACCACGACTATCACCACCACCACAATCACCACCACCACAATCACCACCACCACCATTCCACAACAAACATCACCACCGATTCGGCACATCATTATCAAAATCATCACCTTACCACCATCACCACATCAAATGAAACATCATCTTATACTACAGCCGCCATCACCACCATAACCCACTACGACCATCACCACCATAACCCACTACGACCATCACCACCATAACCCACTACGACCATCACCACCGTAACCCCCTACGACCATCACCACCATAATCCTCTACGACCATCACCACCGTAACCCTCTACGACCATCACTACCATAACCCTCTACGACCATCACCACCGTAACCCACTACGACCATCACCACCATAACCCCCTATGACCATCACCACCGAAACCCAATACGACCATCACCACCATAACCCCCTACGACCATCACCACTGTAACCCACTACGATCATCACCACCATAACCCTCTACGACCATCACCACCGTAACCCACTACGACCATCACCACCATAACCACCTATGACCACCACCATCGTAACCCAATACGACCATCACCACCATAACCCCCTACGACCATCACCACCGAAACCCAATACGACCATCACCACCATAACCTCCTACGACCATCACCACCGTAACCCACTACGATCATCACCACCATAACCCTCTATGACCATCACCACCGTAACCCACTACGACCATCACCACCATAACCCCCTACGACCACCACCATCGTAACCCATTACGACCATCACCACCATAACCCCCTACGACCATCACCACCGTAACCCAATACGACCATCACCACCATAACCCCCGACGACCATCACCATCGTAACCCACTACGACCATCACCACCATAACCCCCTACGACCATCACCCCCGTAACCCAATACAAACCATCACCACCATAACCCCCTACGACCATCACCACCGTAACCCACTACGACCATCACCACCATAACCACCTATGACCACCACCATCGTAACCCAATACGACCATCACCACCATAACCCCCTACGACCATCACCACCGAAACCCAATACGACCATCACCACCATAACCTCCTACGACCATCACCACCGTAACCCACTACGATCATCACCACCATAACCCTCTATGACCATCACCACCGTAACCCACTACGACCATCACCACCATAACCCCCTACGACCACCACCATCGTAACCCATTACGACCATCACCACCATAACCCCCTACGACCATCACCACCGTAACCCAATACGACCATCACCACCATAACCCCCGACGACCATCACCATCGTAACCCACTACGACCATCACCACCATAACCCCCTACGACCATCACCCCCGTAACCCAATACGACCATCACCACCATAACCCCCTACGACCATCACCATCGTAACCCACTACGACCATCACCACCATAACCCCCTACGACCATCACCACCGTAACCCGCTACGACCATCACCGCCATAAATACTACCACCACCATCACCACCACATCCCCACACATCACCAGCAGCAGCTTATCAACACATCGCCTACAAAATCATCTCATCATTCCCACCACATCCACACATCATCCCACATCAGCCACCACCTCCTCACAGACATATCAGCCCTCTACCTCAAATACATCACCAACACGTAACACACCACCACTACCACCAGCAGCAGAGTGAAGGTGGTCCAGGGCTGGTGGGCGGGCTGGTGGTTGGGTGCGTGGGTGAGCATATTGGGTGGGAGGGAGGGAGGCCTCCACTCAACCACTAACACAGCAGACCAGTGCCACAGTCGAGCGGTGCCAACCCTCCCGCACGGGCCCAGCCATTGGCACTCTTCCTCTCGCTCCTCCTCCTCCTCCTCCTCCTCCTCCTCCACCACCTCCTCCGTTGGGGGGAGCACCTCACCTGCCGTGGAGCCTCAGGTGAACCCCAGGGGAACCATCACGGCACCGCTGGTTTTGCCCTGGAGGTGTGGAGGGGTTCAGGTTTTACTTTTGAGGAACCTGATGACAGGGTAACCTGAGAGCCTAGGTGACTGCAAGGTGTTACTGTACTTCTCCCCCGACACGTGTGCGCCACCAAGGTGTACATCTTTTGTGCCTCAGTGAAAATTATCGCGAGCAAATGCCCTAAATGGAAATTCGTGATTAGCTTGCATTCTTGTGCACCTGTTTATCACTGGCCAGTGAACCCCTGTATGTCAGAAAGTGAATGTAAACACGGCCCCAAGCTGTAGTGAAAGCCGTAGTCGTCTTGAGTGGACGACTTTAATGCTGTGCTGTTAGACGAATGTGTCCTCTTGAACATATAGGTGAGGGCACTGCGGTGTGCGCAGTGTCTTGAGATGACAGTGCACGCAGTGTCTTGAGATTATCACAGTGACGTTCCGAGGAAGCTAGGTGACGAGTGCGTGCGTGTGCGTGTGCGTGTGTGTCCACAGATCAAGAAAAAAAGTAAAACGACGGTTTATATAACTCATATAATGTTACTGTATCGGCTGTAAGTTTTTTAAACATAATAAGTACCACATTATTAAACTCAAATTTATGCCTAAGTGCTGTAAAAATGTCTATTGTATTCGGTACTAAATATTATATTAACACGAAAAAACATTAAAACTACTATAATTGCAAACTCCGAAAACAAAAACGCCTGACGTATGATTATTATAATATTGCCTGCGTCATATATTTGTAAATATCTAGACCCGTTTACAGATACTTAGCAGTAAGCGGATGTAACTTATACGACCGTTTACAATGCCCCTTTACACGTGCCTATCGAACAGTGCCCTATGATTGTCTTTCTTGAATACCAAATGGATTAAGAAGAAAAACGTTTTTCATTAAAATCTAAATAAAGTGTTTAACTCAACCTGTGATTCATCTGTGATAGATATATGTTCTGCCGGCTTCATAGAGTCGCCAATACAACACTGATGACAATCTCTCACTCTCTCAGGGCCACCGAAGAGCTTCTCATGTATGTTTATGTAAGTAACCCTGAGAACATGCTTCACCGTCTACATAAGAAGACAAACTAGATCACTACAGCACTGACCTCAGCAGCAGATGAGTTGTGAAGCGTGTTAATCAATCATATAAATCTCTCTGGAGAAACTTAATTAACTTTTAACAATATAACACGTACAAGAACACTGCCGCACATTTAATAACAAAATTACTGGAGTTTCGATATAGTTTTTAGAAGAAACTCATAGATGGTGAGGCAACAACGCTCTGGGAGTAAGTCTGTATAAGGGACCATTGTAGGCATCACCACTGTTCAATTGTTCTTCATGGTTCACATTAGTTCAAACCCTATATTACAGAACCTTGAATTACTAAATATTTTAAAGAAATTCTCGAGTGAAATGACTAGAGCGAAGTGGACGAGATCTGGCCAGTAATATATCACTGGCTATATCTGAGGGATATTGACACATAGTCCCGAAATAAAAATATAATAACCTCTGACTCAATTCTCTCACAGCATTCAGAGAAAAACAGGTCAGACGTAAATCGTATCGACTCAGAAATGTCAAGAAATTTGCTCTCGAGGTACTGAAGACGATTTCTTGGAAAACTTGTTCTCCTGTGCCTTTCCTATCCGCATCTCGCAAGTTCCAAACCTATTGTTCTATGCCTCGCGAGTTGCTGAGTGTCTTCTCTGAAAAATAAGGCTGAAATCTAGAGAACACATGGAAGTGCTTGTCTACAACACGAAGTCTTTCTTGTTCCTGTGAAGAAATGTCCAATGGGAAAACTCACTCTATTTCTTTAATATTTAATATAATAAACTAAAATATATCATAACTCAACGAAAAGAAAAGAATCTGAATTAGTAGCTGTGAATTTCTCCATCAGTCTAAGAAGCTTGTCCTGTTTTTGAGAAGACTTGTAATAAACACATACACACGACCACCGCACTCGTTACTTGCTCATGACCGCTTTTCGTACGTAAAATATTTAGTCAGTCATCCTCCTCCGTTGACACCAGAGTACACTACTCTAGCGCCATCCCATTCAAACGGGCGGTCGTGTTGATCAAGTCAGTCATCTTTCTTAACATCAGACTAATAATCGTAGTTTGAAGCTTACGGAAAAAGACCAGAAGAAAAAGCATTAAAGAGCATGTTTTGAAGAGACGTCATGTCGTCAAGGGACTTCAGGAACAACAAAACCGAAAGCTCTTCCAAGTCTTGAAGAACAAAGACCTATAGAGTTTTCATGAATACAAACGACTAAAGGGTCTTCTAGTTTCAAGACAAAATCTGAGAAGTTGTAGGGCTCTGCAGGATTCAGAAACATCTACAAAGTCTCTAATCTCACTCAGGGTATAGAATACCTTAACAAGTTGTTAAGGCTCTAATTAACCTATTAACTATAGGGCTGTAACACTTACCTTTAAGGTTACGAGCCCTTGGGGCTCTAGAAGGCCAGTTAGATGCACAAAAAATATCTAGAAAAAGCTGAAAGTTGATTGGGGTGTTCGTCTCTGCCGAATCACTCTGCCAGCCGCTGACACGCGCACGCAACTCCCTCTGCCAGCCGCTGACACGCGCACGCAACTCCTGAGATTCTGGTCACCGAGGTTCAATTTCTTTCGAAGATTGTCAAAAACG